AAAAAGTTCCTTCTCAGAAATTAAGAAATTTTGAAATGCAGGTCCATCTTAAACTATTTTCAACAACACGGTGAGGATGCTTCAACCAATATATGACACTATACTTCAGAAGCTAACTTTACAGATAAAAAATTGAAATTTTCGGACAAGCCACAACACTTGCAAGTAATACCTATCTCAACAAACGTCTTACTTTTGCAGTAAAAAAATTTCCAAGCCAAAATCACTGACGCTTCTATAAAATAAAAAAAAAGATTAAAAATTTTACGGTCAATTTTACAGTTTATATCAGAAAATAAACTTATCAAGTTGAGTTACAATGTTCTATTTCAATTCCAAAATGACTCACGAACATTTAATTAAAAAGATTAGTGCAGAAGCCGGTGCACTGCAACGGTTAGCAAAACCAAAATTTTCAGAATTTCACCCCGTTTATTCTCTCATAATAGGATCCGTTTATCTCAAAATAAATTAAACAAAGGAAAAAAGAAAGACAAAGAAAAAAAGCAAAAAAAAAAAAACCATTTTAAGCACCACTTGCACCCAGAGACGGAAAAATACCCAAAGTCTTTTACTACCTATTATAAAGGACCTTACCTATAATATTTTCAAAAAAAAAAGAACATTTATAAGCAGTTAAAGAAAGGAAAAGTCCAGAACTGGCATTTCTAAACTAATTTTGAAAAAGCTTAGTCTCAGTTTAGAAAGACTCTAGAATCTGATAATTTCACATTATTATACCTGACAAACAAAATAAACCTTTTAATATGCGAGCCCTAGATTAATACCAAGCAATGGATTCTAATAAGTCATTGTTTAGCAGCGTATTAAGAAAATTTACTTAATGTTCACTTTTTAATGCAAAAAGAAACAAAACTGATGCAAAAAAATTAATGTACCCGAGTTACATCTGCGTCCATGTATTCCAGTACCGCGTCAAATATTTTTGTAAAATGTTCTGCAGTAATATTGCGATTTTTTATTGCTATCTCAACGCCATCCTTCAGCCCAGAAAGAGTTTTTAAGCTGCACAGCAGAGCAACAAATTGCTGTAGATCTTCTTTTTGATCAAAAACCCCACTAAACTGCCTCATCTAAATTGAAACAAGGATTTATTTTTCAAAGAAGCATAATCTCTAAAAATGCTCAACACGGAAAAATTGGTAAATTTAAGCAGGTTAATACAACTGCTTTAACTTCAGTTAAAAAAACAGTAAATGTGATTCCTAGTAAAAAATCTTCACAGTTACAGACCTCAGTCTAAAACAATAAAGTAATAAAAAAAAACGTTACTGGAAACAAAGATCACCAAATTCGATTGTCAAATACTTACTTCTTTTAGTACGTTTTCATCATGTATAGTAGCTGTAGACTCATGTGTCAAAGCAGAGTAAAAAGGAACGTCGATCTTCTAAAGATTCTTTGTTATAGAATAAATTAAACTAATAACACTTTAAGCAAACTTCCTCCAAACAAATAAAAAAAAATCGAAGACAAAATCTCGCATACGTAAACTTTTCCATCTGGCGAGAAGAAGAAAGCAGACGCGAAAGAATCAGTTACTAAAGTAAGATTCCCCAAAGTATTATCGCGTGCACGGAGAGAACTCATAAGTCGCCCCTTTTTCTCAACATTCACGGCAGCAACCCGTTTACCACTCTGAAAAAATTTGGAAAGGAAAAATAATGAAAATAACACTGGCATTGACAAGATGATTCAATCAGAATCAATGACGGCTCACCAACGGTAACCAGACTTCAAGCAACCCGCGCCTTGGCGCAAAGAGCACTAAGAACAAAGTTTTTTTCCGATATGAAAGTTCTTTAGTTTCTAAATGGCTTTTATTTTCTGAGTTAGCCGCAGTCTCAATCCATGCACATCGAGCATCTCTATATCCTTTCCAAATTCGTCTAATTTGTCGAGTTCGCGTCTGAAGATTATAATCTCTCAAGTGATGGACTTCATCCACGATGAAAAAGCAATGTCACACACTTCTATACCGATAAATTCCTTTAAATTGACTCGCGACTCATTATCAATGTACGAGCTTCAAGATGCATAACTTACATCGAAAAGAACCACTCGAGCGAAAGAATCAGTGACTGCAACGTATGGATTGCCATATGGCGCAGGAAATAACCGTTCACCTTCCCGTCCTCCATCTTCAAAAACACTGCGCATTTCAAGTGTTGTACCAACACGAGATAAATGAGCACGCGTTTCATGACTGCGATCCCTCTGCGTCGGTAGCGGCTTTTCATTTTTCGACCGGAAAAATGAGCGCAGGTCCGGCAAGGATGAAACAATATTTGAAGCCCACTAAAATTAATTACATAGACAGACATAAAGATCGAGTTATTAACGTGAACAACGTACTGTTTAACCGAGACACCCGTGTGGATGTAATAGCAAAAAAATTTGTTACTACAGCAGAAAATAGCACAATTTCTAGGCAAATACTATGCATAAACAAATAATATTATTTTCAACTACTATGAAGGAAATAACTTTTGCGGAGCACCTCTGTTCCATAACTGTAAAGTATGTCGCTGATTAAATTCGTTGAACCGGTTCCAACCCTGTTCCAACTAAAAACCACAAATGGGGATTTTCCAGTACACATGTAAGTTGCGAATATCGGAGGAGCTAAAGAGTTAACAACGGCCTAAAAATGTCAAGAAATAAGAAAGATTTGAAACTCGTCTGCACATATCTAAGAACGGTATGATTAACATGAACTAATAGTTAAGTCTCCACCTTTGCCCCTGATTGAGACACTGACGCAGCAGCGTACGTTTCGGCATATGGTTGTTCATATGGCCCAAGGATCGCTATATCACTAACAGCAACTCCTCTTGTTAGAGACATTCTCTCAACATTTAATAAAGCTGTAGTGGCGATCTTCTGAATATCTTCTTCTCCACGAGCTATCTTATAAAGAAAAAGATCAATCTACCGAGAAAGTGAATAAAAAGACTATTACACAGTAATAAAGTTTCTAATAACACAATAAAAATACATCTGCTCCTATAAAACCAATCTTACCTGAATTTTAGCACTTTTTAAAGCTACATATAAGGAGAGACCATCAACAATCGTCAAGCTCCTCTCTACCAACACGATAAACTCTTGCTCACCCGATAATACCGAACGACCAAAACGGACACTGTCAATTGCCCTAGGAACGTTAAAATAGAACGGAAATAAAGTCAACAATAAAGTACCATTAAAAGTCATTATCCAGTAAATAAAAAGGCTGGTATTTGTAAGTTTACTGAGTAAATTAACAATTACTAGAAAAGAATAGGTAGAGCTTTCTACCATCAAGAAAGTAGAATCAAATTTTCCTTCAACCATACTTGTGAGAGAATCTTTCAGAACGTAGGAGAACACCTCGTTCTGTGTAAAAGTCAACATAGCCATCACTTAACCCAACAGAAATGGCAACAAAATCGTAATCCCGTGTTTCGGTTTTCCTAGTTACAGCTAGAGGAAGAATACAAATTGATCTTATGTATACCTATAAAACATAAAGTTAGGGGATTAGCAGATCAATAAAATGCAATTTAAAACCATAAATGAAGGAGAATTATTTAACAGTTACTGGATCTGAGTGCAGACGATTTACAACGGAAAATTGCGCTACAACTTCATAACTGGGATCGGCATAACCATTTCTTTCAAGAACAACTATTTTTTGGACTAAGGCAAAAACAATAACATCCGCCTTACCTAAAAATTTTGAAAAAAAAAAAAACTTTTCTGAAATTACATTAAATAAGCACTGATTCGAAAAAAAATTCAATTTTAAACAGTTTTCAACAGAACTGATCAAAACTAGCTTTTTTGATTATGATGAAGCTACCTGCAGTGGCAATAAGCGGACTTTGAAGCCAACGATGACTCTTCTTTAATTTTTCTCCGCTAAGCTCCTCACTACTCTCTTCTGCCTATACAGTATTCTAATAAAAATTTAAAAGAAATTAAAACGACTAATAGAGCGAAGGAAAAATAAGTAATAAAAAATAATAAAATCGGATAAGAAAGACTTTTCATAAATAGATAAAAAACTGTAAAAAACCGTTGTAGATTCATCCGTCCAGTTAATAACACCGGCTTCTTTCTCCACATCATCTCCATCGCGACTGTTCAAGTCGTCATCAGAATCATCGTCTAAAAAACACACAAAGTGCAGGTGAAGATTTAGGTTTAAGCATGCAATTGAGAGATTGAGCACCATTTCGTTATAGCATTCAAATTAAACTCTTTTACTCTCATATAATTTCTCCCACTTTGTCTATACAAGTCTTTTAAACGCTCATCATTCACCTTAGAAACTTTGAAAAAAATACCGTCTTTCCTCATTTACCTGATAAATGTCTGGTTCAGGCGACACTAATACCTTTTACAGAACCGCCCTAGTACCACTTTCAACCACGTTTTTAAACGCTTTAATTTCCTAAATGCACCTGTCTCACAATTTAAGATTTCCAGACCATTTCCAGCGAACTTATAATATTTTAAAACTCATTATCTTTACCAGTTAATTTAATACCTGCGTACCATCAAAAAGTAATGTCAACTAAACAAAGCAGTTTTTCCCCCTACACGTTTTTTAGCGCATCATATACCAAAAACGCTGCCAGGAGAGAAAAAAAATAAAAAGAGACAGGATAAAAGTAAAATCATTTTTTTTTTGCAAAAATAAACATGTAACAAGCCAATAATGCTACACTACTAGACTTTAATGCAAAAGGATGTATAACAGAAATAAAAAGAAAAAAAACTAAAATATGCCACTCAAAATTCAGAAAAAGAATGCAGACTTTTCAAGTATCATGAAAGACGAGTAAAAGATGCTTATAAAATTCAGGCAGGTAAACCTTGAAGCTACTTCCCAAGAATGAACACATTGCAGTAAAACAGCGCCGTAAGTGGCAGGAATAAAATGATGGTTAATATCCTAGTAACAACACATGAGATGTAAAACCATCTTTCACTGGAATCAAAATGTGTAAACAAACCTGATTTATTTGCCAGGTCTCCAGAAACGGAAGAAAAAAAGAATTTTTTAACACTGAAAAGCTGCTCTTCGGAAAGCTGGCCATATTCGAGTAAAATTTTTTTCATCGTCTAGCCAAAAATCACTAAACAAGTAAAACCATAAGAACTACAGTTCTTTAAGAAAAACCAAAATGCAAATTTACCAATGAAGTAATAAGAGCACGAAAATCTCTTTTGAAACTGTAAAAAAACGGCAAAAAATAAAACAGTTGTTGACTGGCACTGAACCATCAGGATTTTCAAGATAATTTGTCTTTAAAACCAGCACACAAAAACTTGTAGAAAAAGAAACAATACCCGACAAAGTCAATCTGCCATCATAATACTCACTTCATTCTAGCGTTTCTCTTAATTTCCCCCTTTACGGTTGGCAGGATGAAAAAAATTCTACCCCTGGCGCGGTGCCAACGCGGTACTCACGCTCGGTTTAAAATTTTGCTTTGTAGCCGCTGTTCAAAGACCAACTTCGTAATCTTAACCGGCTAAGGTATCGTCGTGTATGACAGGAATTTATTGTTTTTACAGTCCTTTGAATAGGCAGGAAATATGGATGACTTGTAGAACCATACAGCAAGGATGCTAAAACTGTTGCTTTTCTCTTCATTTATATCCATCGTAAAATATGACTCCTTCAGTTTTCACGCTAACCAAAAGGGATTTTTCTGGTTCTTTTGTTATTGCCCCGCGGATCTAAGAGAGAGATTCATTTTTTAGAGCTGGGACACAGGTGTTTTTAGTGTAATTGTTTGTCCTCACACCTAGCTTACAGTATATTCCAAAAACTGCTCCGATTCAAGGCAAAAAACTTTTGTACAAAAAATTCGAGCAGTGTTTGAAAATTGAGAACAGTGCGGACAGGCTGTATATATATTTACTTATACAACGGTTCGCTAAACGGTTATTATGTGGAACATCTTTACAGTTCTAAAACAGTTAAACTGCACAGTAATTGTATTAAACTTTATTTAGCCTTAAATCTGTATCTCTGCCGTGGTACGACTACACTTCTTGAATGGAAATCTTAAAAATTTAGCAAAAGAAAAGTGGTTACAAAGATGGAAATTGTTCTTCTTTTTCTTTTTTTGTATTTAGTTGGGTGCACTGAAAGACTATATAATTAAGGTAACTATGAATTATTAAAGTATATTTGGCTTATGCGCTGCAGCATTTAATTTTTTTGCTGATCAATATACTTTTAAAAAGCTTTGACAGTAGGTTTTTAAGGCTTAGTAAAACGGTGCTACGCAAGGATTGGAGTAGGGATTTCGTTGAGAGCGAGGATCTTTTACGGTGTAAATTGAGGCAGAGAACGGGTAGCCTACAAGCCTGTCTTTCGTTTCTCTATGCTTTAAAACTTTTTTTTCACATCACAGTTTTACAAACTTATGATACCTGACGCACTTTCAGTGCATGGTCCTTCAAATGGTGAACGTGAAGAGAAGAGCTCTAACTGGAAAAAAAAAAGGGTGACCATTAGAGGCCGGGTGCTTATTTGGTTACTATTAAAAAAATTAGATCTCATTTATTATAAAACGTCTTTTTACAGGCTTTCCATATACAAACATTATAAATTATGAAGTTGCTCATAAGTAGTATTTTGTAAAACTAATTATTAAAATCAATTTCTCCTTCGCACTCAAGTTTGAGCTTACAAATGCCTTGCCTAATTTGTAGAGAAGGCAAGTGTATAGACAGTAATATGACTTGTGGTGATTTCCAATCCCTTCTGGTCACTAAACTAAATACTGTATCATTCTAGCTGCTAAGCGCACCATAGTTCTACAAACCAAATTTTTTGGTTTATAAAATTTTTAGTTAGTAAGGACTAACAAGTTTTATTACAAAAGGCGTAAAGTTTGCTTTTAACAGCAGAGACAATTGGCACTATAAGAACTCAGTTTCCATTTTTAGGTAGTTGCTGCAACTAAGGAGATGAAAAGAAAGAAGAAGATCGAAAATGCAATATGCCGGTTTTCTGATACTAGGACTTCAAAACGCAGAAGCAAGTAGGACTGGTGAGAAGGAACATAATTATACACATTTGTCTGGTTCCGCCGAAATATAGTGAGTTGAAGTACTTGAAAGTTGCTTGTTTGTGGCCTGCAGGAAAAATCAGTGACTGCTAGGGTATAGTGATGGCTGTCAATTATTTGAATTTTTAAAAAATTTGTTCAGCCGGCGTTCATGAGCGATTGCGGCCTTCGACTCTCGCCACATACAAGACCACTAGTAAATCCTAACTTGTGGTAAAAGCATGTTTTACCTTATAATACTTGCTTTATATGCACTGTTTTAGGCTATAACTGCAGAAGATCTGAGACCTGAAGCTGTGTTGCTTTTCAAAAGCCTCTAAATTTACCCTACCACTATGTTTATTTTGACCCTCGTTTCGTTCTTAACTAAGAAATCCATTTGTAGCAAATGCACCTTATTGACGTTTATGGCAAAAAGAAGCCTTTGTCGTTGCTTTAAGCCACTTTTACCATTCCTATAGCAAATTCGTGCTTTACTTTTCTAACTTTCCATGGGAACATGAATAAAGTTGTAGAAGATGCTTCAGCTAAATCTGTTTATTCTGATCACAGCCTTACACAACTCTCAACTTTCCTGACAATATTTTCAAAAGCTCGAATTGTTTCGGAAGAAACAATAAGCGATAAATCATCATATCTGCTTTTAAGTTGTTGATCAGGTCTGAGCTAGGCCTTAAGCTTTTTCCATTAAAAGGCTGGGACCTTTGGCTGTCATAAAAAGAAATTTTTGCGAGAATCTGCTCCACTTTCAATTTTTTTAATATGTGCTTTTTTTTGGCTGTCGTATACTCTTCCATGCCCGTCCAGGATTAGTATTTTGATTTCAAATGTGCAGAAAAGTCAATTTAGACCATTTATTTATTTACCTCATCGTTTCTTTCAAGTAGAAAAAATGACTTCTAAACCACGAACTAGCACTGCAGAGTAAAATATAATAAGAAAAAAAAGGCAAGTAAAAGTCGCCTGGTCATCATAACCAGGAGAAACACTTAAAAAGCAAAGTATTGGAAAAGCAATTTAAAAATGGAAAAATTCTTAGATAAGTTACAAATTTCCTATAAATTCAAGAATTTTATTACTGTTAAAAGGAATTTTTTTAAGACTGAACGAGTGGCAACGGTTTTGACCAAGGCAAAACCATACTATGGTGCAGTAGAATTTTTTCTACATCAGCGTCCAAGCTCAGTGTTACGTGCTACTGTTTTCATCAGGCAGACAATTTAGGTTAACTATTTAAATGCTCTCTAAAGAACACGTTTACTTACTTGATCGCTCAACATATTTTGGATACTGTGTTGGTGCTTTTTATTCCCACTTGCAAACTGCAAAAATCAATAAAAAATAATTTTTTTACAGTGAAGATTTGAATAGAAATGTTTACCTCCTACATGAATTCTCTATAGTTTAGAAATAAAAAGTGGATTGAATCAGCTGGAAAATAGTTAAAGCATTTTGAAGAGGGTACAATTTGATGCAACCATCATTTAAATCTAATTGTTTTTTTTTTTTCTTCACTTATTTCTGCAAACTATTTCTGGTTTTTTATAGAGGAAAATTTTTTTTTTTTTTTGTAGACATAAAACACTGTCGAGTGGAGACTAATTTATTTTCATTTTAAACACCTGTTAACTTTAGGAGATTATAAAAAAAAAAAATATTAATTTTATGTATATATTCAAGAATCCCGTTGATTGCTTCAATTGGAAATTTTTTTGCATTTTTTTTTTTTGACCTAAAAAACAAAACCTATGTTTTTACGACTGTTGACTATTTTTTTCAATGTTTTACCAACATGTTAATTGTTCCGGTGATAATGCTGCTGTACCTTGCTGTATCAAGACAACAAAAGTTCAAGAGTCATAAATTGATCTTCTGTTTTGTTTAATGGTGTATGATTGGAATAAACGTTGTACTTTATTTAGTACTTTCAATTGTCGCTGATAACAGACAGTAATTCTGCAAAATT